GGGAAATCTAATAAATCCAGGAAATCCCCAAATCCAGGAAATCCCCAAATCCAGGAATTTTCTAAATCCAGGGAAACCCAAATCCAAGAAATCCCAAATCCAGGAATTTTCTAAATCCAGGAAATCCCAAATCCAGAAAATCCCAAATCCACGAAAACCCAAATCCAGGAATCCCTCAAATCCAGGAATCCCCAAATCCAAGAATCCCCAAAATCCAAGAAATCCAAACCCAGGAAATCCCAAAGCCAGGAATTCCCTAAATCCAGGAATCCCCCAAATCCAAGAAATCCCCAAAATCCAAGAAATCCCAAATCCAGGAATCCCCAAATCCAGGAATCCCAAACCCAGGAAACCCCAATGCAGGAAATCCCAAATCCAGGAATCCTCTAAACCCAGGAATCCCCAAATCCAAGAAATCTCAAATCCAGGAATTTTCTAAATCCAGGAAATCCCAAATCCAAGAAAACCCAAATCCAGGAATCCCAAACCCAGGAAATCCCCAAATCCAAGAAATCCCAAACCCAGGAAATCCCAAATCCAGGAATCCCAAACCCAGGAAATCCCAAATCCAGGAATCCCAAACCCAGAAATCCCCAAATCCAGGAAATCCCCAAATCCAGGAAATCCCCAAATCCAGGAATCCCAAACCCAGGAAATCCCAACTCCAGGAATCCCCAAATCCAGGAATCCCAAATCCAGGAATCCTCTAAATCCAAGAAATCCCAAATCCAGGAAATCCCCCAACCCAGGAATCCCCAAACCCAGGAATCCCCAAGTCCGGGAATCCCCAATGCAGGAAATCCCAAACCCAGGAATCCCAAATCCAGGAAATCCCCCAACCCAGGAATCCCCAATGCAGGAAATCCCAAACCCAGGAAATCCCAAACCCAGGAAATCCCAAACCGTCCAGAATCCCTGGAATGGGATCAGGTTTGGGATGTGTCCCTCATTCCCATTTTTCCCATATTTCCTGTTCCCATTCCCATTATTCCCATTTCCCCCATTCCCATTTCACCATTCCCATTTCTCCCATTCCCACTTTTCCCATTTCTCCCATTCCCCCCATTCCCACTTTTCCCATTTCTCCCATCCCCATTTTCCCACTTTTCCCATTTCTCCCATTCCTATTTTTCCCATCTTTCCCATTTTTCCCATTCTCATGTCTCCCAATTCTCCCATTCCCATTTTTCCCATTTCTCCCATCCCCATTTTCCCACTTTTCCCATTTCCACTTTTCCCATTTCTCCCATTCCCACTTTTCCCACTTTTCCCATTTCTCCCATCCCCATTTTCCCACTTTTCCCATTTCTCCCATTCCCACTTTTCCCACTTTTCCCATTTCTCCCATTCCCACTTTTCCCATTTGTCCCATTTCTCCCATTTCCACTTTTCCCATTTCTCCCATTCCCACTTTTCCCATTTCTCCCATCCCCACTTTTCCCATTTCTCCCATTCCCACTTTTCCCATTTCTCCCATTCCCACTTTTCCCATTTCTCCCATTCC